TGGGGCTAACAAGAGGGGCAGGTGTATCACTTCCGTTTTAGATATCAGATCCCCTGGCCAGGATCCTGGAGTTCGGGTTCCAGCTAGCTGTTTGCGTCAGTGGTTGCACGCCTGGATTTCCTTCCCCTCATGTCGTGCAGGAATCAGGAGAGTCTGGCTTAAGATCTACCAGCACATGCAGCAGCTCAGTCCTCATGTTCGCACCCGTCACAGTCGTGGGCCTATCTCTGCCATCATTCATCAGCTCCTGTTGCTCGGTTGGGACCCAGTCTCTCTTGATCAATGGCAAGGGCCTACTAGTGACGGCACTCCAGATTTCACTTGGGATTTCAACACCGAGCAGTTGGTCGGGTTAGACCAGACGCGCGGCATCATGCAGGAGTTCGTTGAAGCCCTGCACGCGACAGTGGCGCCAGGCCGCCACTCGCTTCTGCGGCGCAGGTTCGGAGGACGGCGCTGACAATCGCAGTCTACGTTTTCTTCTGCAGCAACTCCAGGACGCCCCACGAGGGCGCCAGCTTGCAGAACTTTTACTAAGCATCGCAGTAGGCGGGTCATGGATGCAGGCCAGGAAGAAGGAGGAGGGCCTCTCAGATGTTGATCTCTGTCCACGTTGTCTCCTTTCTCCCGAAACCCCTGTTCACCGGCGTTGGCTCTGCCCAAAAATTGCGGCCGCGATATCTACACCCAGTCCGAGGAGTTAGTCGTCGAGGCCGTTTCTCAAGGTGATGCTCACGCGTGTTTCTGGCACAGAGGCCTCATCCCGAAAAGTTGGACCACTATTGACCCGCCTACTAGCGACGAGCAGTGGTTTGCCACAGGGCTTACGTCACTTGAAGAAGGTTGTCTTGTGACGGGGACCTGGCAGGATCCTATTTATGTTTGTGGAGACGCGTCTGGAGGCCCCGATGGTCGAGATCCCTGGTTACGAGGGGTCGCTGTAGCTATCATGAAGGTCGACCGCTTCGCTCCCTTCCTCGCCTCCACCTCCACCTCGGGCCCCCTCCCAGGCACTCCTCAAACTGTTCCTCGTGGAGAGCTCCTTGCCCTTATCATTACATTACCTTTCTCTCGCGGTTATGTCGTCTTCCTTTCGGACAACGAGGAGGTCGTCCGCGGGTTCTGGGAGAAAAAGTGGCTTCCCCCTCATGGTGAGCTCGCGGATCTCTGGCGCGTCGCCGGTCAGCTGATGACCGACCGCTTGCACGAGCAAGTTGCTGTGCTTCAAGTTCCCTCTCACCTCGAGAATAATCCTCGATTTATTTTGCGCAGGGGTATGCCAGGGTGGATGGTGTCTGGCAACGTCATTGCAGATCAGATCGCTGGGGAAGTGGCCAAGCAGTTTCGGGCCCCTGAGGCTGTTCGGTTCCAGGTTCACGACATCGAGAGAAAAGCTGCGCTCATCAGAAAACGACTTATGAGATCGACCCTCGAAGCTATCGACGCCGACCGTCAGAGGCAGATTGAGAAAAGACGTTCTGACCGAGCTGCAGCTGCTGCTGCGCCTGCCGCCCCCCCCCCCCTCCGCCCCCCCCCGCGCCCGCCGCCGTCGCCCTGTTCTCGTCCGAGCACATGCTGGCGGACGACGGCCAGTCCTGCCAGAGGTGCCACAACAGCTGCACCAAGGCGGGCCGCACCCAGTGGCTAGGCACCGATTGTTGTCCTCTCGTGCCTGCTACAGGGGACTTCCTTCAGCCCCCCCCCCTCAGTCGAGTGCACATCGGTGGAGGATGGGTTGCCCCCAATCATTGCATGAGGTTTCACGCCAAGAATAGACTTTGGATTTGTGTCGCTTGCGGCAACTTTGGGCAGCAGCAGTTGAGGGCCCTCAGTCTGCCGTGCGACCCCAGGTCTATAACCAAGAAGAGGAAAGAGCACTCGAGCCGTGTGGAGCGAGGTGTAGCTCCGAAGTAGAGTGGTCAGTCGATATTGCTTCGCAATCGTTCCGGATCCGAATCCGAACCCTCCCCCTCCTCCTCTTCCTCCTGCGGCGACGAGATCTATTATGCATCGCTGCTGACCGTGCCCGTCCTGGGCCCAGGGGCAGCGCATGCCCTCCTCCCCGGCGTGGCCAGGGAGGCACCTATACCGCTGCTGGGCCCCGGATGAGACCGGCCAGCGGCGGATGACGTGCACGGATCTCGACTTGCCCTTTCCTTGCAGGTCCCAGGCCCCGCCCAGAAACCGACGGAGTGGCGCCGCATTCCGCCCCTGGAGTCCGTTCCCGGGCTTTGCAAGAGAACGAACGAACAGCACACGCACGCCCATGCCCACAGTTGGGGCGGCGGGGAGAGGACTGGCTATGGGTAAGGGTGCTGGTTGTCGGACCGCGGGGGAGGCTCCCGTTCGAGCGGGGACCCCCATCCGACAACGCGCACCCATAGCCTGCGGGCGGGCGGGCGGGAGCGCGGGCGGGCGGGCGGGCGGGCGGGCGGGCGGGCGGGCGGGGGCACGCGCGCGCGCGTGCGTGCGTGCGCGCGTGCGTACGTGCGTCCGTGCGTGCGTGCGTTCGTGCGTGCGGGCGGGCGGCGGGGCGTGAGGGCGGGCGGGCGGTTCGTTCGTCTTTGCTGTTGCGTGGTGTGCGTGTGTGGGTGTGTGCGTGTGTGTGTGTGTGCGTGCGTGCGTGGGCGTGTGTGTGTGTGTTGCGTGTGCGTGTGCGTGTGCGTGTGCGTGATGCGTGTGCGTGTGCGTGGCGTGTGTGCGTGTGTGTGTGTGTGTGTGTTTGTGTGTTTGTGTGCTTGTGTGCTTGTGTGCTTGTGTGTTTGTGTGCTTGTGTGCTTGTGTGCTTGTGTGCTTGTGTGTGTGCTTGTGTGTGTGTATGTGTGTGTGTGTGCGTGTGCGTGTGCGTGTGCGTGTGCGTGTGCGTGTGCGTGTGCGTGTGCGTGTGCGTGTGTCTGTGTGTGCGTGCGTGCGTGCGTGCGTGCGTACGTGCGTGCGTACGCGTGTGTGCGTGTGTGTGTGAGAGAGAGAGTGCGTCTGTGTGTGTGTGTTTGTGTGTGCTGTTCGTTCGTCACAAGAACAAGCCGTGCAGAAGAAACAGTCTCGCAAGAGAGGAACCGAAAGTTCTAAAGGGCCCGCAGCACGCAGAACCGTGACGTCGGGCGGGGATTGGGCCGCGCCCCGCCTGGTGTTCGCTTGGCTTGTTTCTCTCTGGCGTTGTCTCTGCGGCCAGCGTCTTCCCCCAGATCGACCATACAATCGGGGCAACGATAGGGGAGGATCAGCATGGGGGGGACGCATCGACCCCCAATCGCCCATTGATCGCCGAGAGGGGCCCGATGATCCCCCCCCCGTCCAGGAAGGCGCGGTGTCACGATCGGGGGCCCATCGCCGATCGATCGGCGATGTCTCGCCGATTCCAGGTCGACGTATCCCCCCCCTATGCAAGTTTCCCTTTTGTCTTTGCCCTCACACGGTCAGACACTCTGGTTGAGGGCGTCGCGCCGCCGATGTTCTGGCCCACCACGCCTCGGCGCGACACGCTGAACACGTGTCCCCGAGCGTCAGCCCGCCCTTGCTGCCAGCATCGCTCTCTCCGCGGAGTCAGGCGACACGCTGCCCGACTGCCTGGCATGGCGTGTCGCTGGGGCCGCCGAGTTGATAACCGTTGGCGCTTTATTAGCTCCAGCCGTGGACATTCTCGCATCACCACCGTGATCATCATCATCAGTGGCAGCAGCAGCATCAGTCACATCAGCGTCTTGATAACCATCCTCCTCGTCAACATTTAAGTTCGAACCTTGCCCCTTGCGGGCTCCTTTGTGCCCCTGGCACTCAGTGCGCCCGATGTCGTGCCAAAGGGTTTCCACGGGACTTCGGGTCCTCACTGTTGTGATCTAGAGCTTAATAGAGGTAGCTCTGGGGATGTTCCAGTCGCCTAGGAACCGTGTATGTTTTTTCAGTCAAGATGCTCGTGTCGAGATGGTTGCGGACAGGCCTGCTGGTGACCCGCCCAGCTTCTAGTTGTTCAATACCCGTGCATGAGCGACGTCACCACCTAATCGTCGTCGATTTCGACGCGCATGGTAGACCCTACACGAAAAGTTCATTGTTCGTTGTGTGGTAGGTTTGGCTAGGTCGATTGTCATGTTTCGCCGTTACTCTTCCGCCGCCGCCACGTCACCATCATGTCCGTGATGAGCACCGTTGTCGTGCAGCGCATGTTGTTCCAATTCATGTTACCTTGTCCTCACCTCTTGTCTTCCACATGTCCAGATCGTGGTCCTACCCTTCCATCCCTCTTCGCCAGTTCTTTCTGGGCACTGTCGTTCCCACATCATCATCATCATCGTCATCATCATCATCATCATCATCATCATCATCATCATCATCATCATCATCATCATCGTCGTCATCATCATCATTATCACCATCGGCATCATCATACGAATCATCAGCACCAACACCACCGTCACCATCATCCAACAATCACCATCACCCATCTCCAACACCATCACCATAACCATCAGCACCATTACCGTCATCCATCATCCCCCACCCATCATCATAGTCGCCATCATCATGCCTCATCTATCACCAGCATCACTCATTCCACATCACCATGCATCATCACCGTCCATAATCATCATCCCCAATGATCATGGTCCCCATCATCATCACCACCATCAGCATCATCCTCAGATCAGCATCATCAACGTCCTTATCCTCATCATCATCATCATCAGCATCATCATCATCATCACCATCATCATCATCATCAGCATCATCAGCAGCATCAGCATCAGCATCAGCATCAGCATCATCCTCATCCTCCTCCTCATCCTCGTCCTCATCCTCATCCTCATCCTCATCCTCATCATCCTCCTCCTCATCATCATCATCATCATCATCACCAGCAGCATCCGTGGCGCTCTGGCCGACCGCCTGGGTCCAAGCCTCGAGACCCAGGCTGTGCACGCAGCACCCACCACCCCGCTGCCCCCCGGGGACTCCGCCGGCCCGCCATGCCCGCACCCGTGCGGGCCCGTGCCGCCGTGCAGGCCGCCGCCGGGGCCGCTCCCCGCCGCCGCGTGCGCGGGGGCGGCCGCGCGCCGCTCGCGGCCCCGCTGCTGCTGGCGGCGGCGGCGCTGCTGCGCGGCGGGCCCGCCGCCTTCTGCGGCCTGGGCGCGGCGGGGGCCAGCCGCTGGCAGGCCTCCGAGCGCCGCGGCAGCGGGAGCCCAGTGGCCCGCAGGCAGAGGCAGCAGGCGCCGATCGGCGGCGAGCGACCGGGGGGGGGGGGAGAAGGAGGAGCGAGCGAGCGAACGTCCTCCTCCTGCTCCTCTTCCTCCTCTTCCTCTCCTTCATCCTCCTCCTCCTCCCTCCTCCTCCTTCCCCTCCTCTCTCCCTCCCCCTCTTTCTTCTCCTCCCCCTCTTCCTCCTCCTCTTCCTCCTCCTCCTCCTCCTCCTCCTCTTCCTCCTCCTCTCGGCGGCGAGCAAGGGCTGGGGGATGAGAAGGAGAAGGCCCTCTCAGAAGGCGGCGGGACCTCTCAGAAGCCCACGCGCATTCTGAGAAGGTTGTTTCTGTCTTCGGAGGAGGCCTAGGAAACTTCTCGGAAGGCCGGGAGACTTCCGAGGCTTCTGCGAAGACCCGCCCATTCTCATTTCCCCCCCCCCCCCGGGGCCGCCGCCTAGCCTAGGCCTCCCAAATCGGGTCGAAGTAGATTGAGACAGAGGATTGCGCCGCATATCGCCGCCACATCGCCGATGTGGCTCGGTGTGGAGCTCGATGTTCTCCGCGCCGACGTCGCCGATGCATCGCCGACGTTGCCGACGCATCGCCGATGTATCGGCGGTGCCTTGGCGATGCGGCACGACCCTCCAACCCCATCTACTCTGACCCCATCTGGGAGGCCTCCTAAGGCGGGCGAGGGCGAGGCGTTGCTCACGCAGGCGCAGCTGCTGCGCAAGCAGTGCGCGGAGAGGGGGCTGCTGCAGAGCGGCAGCGAGAGCGACCTGCTGCTGCGGCTCAGGGTGTGCCCCGGGCACGTGAAGCGGGCTGCAGCCCTGAGGCCGCCAGCGAGGCAGGTGCCCGCGCACGCCGCCCGCGCGGCAAGCCCGCCCCCCGCCGCCGTGCGCGCGGAGAGCCCGAGCGGGCCGCCGATGCCGCAGCAGTCCCGTCAGCAGATGCACGGCGGCGCTGCTGGTTCGGTGTCCATGCCAACCCAGCGGTCGGCTCCGCCGCAGGCGCACACGACTGCGGGCACCGCTAGGTATGCGCCCTCGTCCTCTGGTGTCGTCCAGGGGGTGACCCCCGACTTCTTCAAGCTCCCCGTGGGCTCGCTGCCACGGCGCATCTGGCAGTGCGAGAGCTCCTGGTCGGGGAACCACTACGAGGCCCGAGGATGGCGCAGCAGCCGGGGGTTCACCTACGTGGCCAACGTCCTGGACGGCATCACATACCTTGCCACGTCTATGGACGACAGCACGGACGCCCCTCCGAGGTCCGACTGCAGGGAGGTCTTCGAGGGGGACCTGTCTCCGAGCCAGTACGCCGACCTGGTCGCCACCTTGCTGCAGGTGGAGGAGGACGAGAGCAAGGCACAGCGCTGGAGGCGGCAGCCCAGCGCGGTCATGCCCCACGGGGGCCACGAGTTCAGCCTCTACCCGCAGTTCCGCTATCGTGGCCTGACGACCGAGCCGCTGAACGGCGCCCCTGGCGTGCCAGAGCCGCACGTGGCGATCACGGTCGTGCACGAGGCGGTGCCCCCCGCGGGGTTCAACCTGGGCGGCCTTCCCGCCACCAAGGCCATGCGTGACAGCCTCGTGGGCCTGAAGGTCTTCCCCGCCCCCACGGAGAAGGGCGAGACGGGGGAGAAATGGGAGATATGTGAGATGGAGGACCCGTGGGCGAAACTCATTTCCTTACCAGCCAGGAACATATCCCTATCCCAATGCCAATCTTAGGGATTCCCTTCTTTTTTGAGGGCGCATCCTTGAGATTGTCATCGCCTCTTGGCGTGCCAATCTTAGGGACAGGGATAAGTTCGAGGCTGGTAATATCCGCATCCGAGGCTGCGCTGCGCGGGTCGATCCCCGCGCCGCGACGCCCCCGCGGATCCAGGTGCGTGTTTGTCGCGGACGCCCCGCGCGGAGACTTGGCATCGCTCGGACGTGTGCATTTTCTTTCTCGGCGAGAACCGTCGAGGACCATCCTGGACCATCGAGCAAAACAAAAGAAAACACGCACGAAACCGACAAACGCCCAGGAAATGGACGCCCGAGCGACGGCAAGGAGAATGCCCGGACGTTCGCGAAATCCGTGGGGTCCTGCCCCAGAAAATCCAGGCCGCGAGGCCGCGGATACGGATGTGTTCGCCGTGCGCGGGAGAGGATCGACTAGACGTAAGAGTGACCTTTCGCCGGAGTGACCTTTGGTGCGGGCACAAATGGGTCCCCAGATGGTTGAAAACGAAGCAGGAGCAGCGGCTTGCGCGCCCGGGTTTGGTCCCCCCGCGGCCCCCAAAAGGCCGCGCACCAAAGGTCACTCTTGCCCAGGGTCACTCTCGCGTGTAGCCGAGAGGAGGGGGACAAGCTCGCGCTGGACGAGGAGCTTCGCCAGGAGATCCTGGGCTACAAGCTCACCGAGCGGAGCAGGGAGGCGTGGCAGCGCGCTCCCGTCGGCATGCTCGTCCTCCAGGTGTCCAGGATCCGCGGCGCGCGAGGGGCGCAGGCCTCTTCAAAGAGGAGGAGGAGGAGGAGGAGGAGGAGGAGGAGGAGGAGGGGGAGGGGGAGGAGGAGGAGGAGGAGGAGGAGAAGGAGGAGGAGGAGGAGAAGGATGAGGAGGAGGAGGAGGAGGAGGAGGAGGAGGAGGAGGCTCGGATGCCCCCCCAGTCCTGTGAGAAGTTCTCTGGGCCTTCCCTGAAGGCAGGACAAGGCCTTCTCAGAAGGCGCGAGGGCCTCCAAGAAGTCCCGCCGTCTTCTGAGAGGCCCTCCTCCTTCTCACCTTCCTCCCCTCGCTCGCCGCCCGCCTTGGTTTCTGGGGTCATGACTCGGGTCTCCGGCGGGCGTTCGGGACGATCTGGGCACCCCCAGAACGCCCTCGGCGAGGCGCAGCTGTTCGCAAGCACCTGGAGGCTGGAGAACTGCCGAGGACCGACGATACCGTCCGAAGGCCTCGAACCTCGAACCCCCCCCTTCGCTCGCCGCCGACAGGAACTGCCGCGACGAGGAGGAGTTCCGCCTCACCTACCTCGCCTCGGACCTCAGGCCCGGGGTATCCGAGAGGAACCAGGAGCGGCTGCGGAGCATGCCGGGCTGGGAGCAGTGGGAACCCTTCCCCATCAACAGTCCCCAGGCGATCGAGGAAGCAGAGCAAGAGGAAAAAGAGGAGGAATGCGGATGAGGAAGAACAATAAGAACACGAAGAGACAGAAAAAGGAATAATAATAAGAAAATGAATAGGATTAATAGTCATAAGAGGGAAATAATAATGATGAGAAGAAGAAGGAGAACAATAATAATACGAAGAAGCGTAAACATAAATTTGTGGAGTTCCGCGCGGATTTCTTGGATAGGCGCTGGCCCCCCCTGGCGGCGCCGCCCAAGGCGCGTTCCGCGCGCCAGGGAGGGGGACCAGCGCCGACCGTAGAAGTCCACGCAGACCTCCTAAAGCTTAGGATCGTCATGACTGTTCCTTCTCAAGGTGAGGCAGATATCCACGCCCGACCAGCGCCGCAACCGCATCCTGGGGGAGCTCGAGCGCCTGCAGGCCAAGTTCGGGTGGCTCCAGCCCTTCGGACTGGTGTCCGAGGGCAAGCCCGGCAACGTGTTCTTCGGGAAGCTCCCGGCCCCCACGGGAGTGTTCGGCCGTGGCACGAAGGTCGGCTATACGTGTAAGTGACCTTTCGCTGGAGTGACTTTGGTGCAGGCATAATGGGGCCTCCAGATTGCTGAACGCGATGCAATGGCAGCGTTTGACGCCCCCGCGGCCCCCGAACGCCGCGCATGAAAGGTCAGTCTTGCCGAGGGTCACCCTTACACGCCGGTCGGTAAAGGTATGTATTTCTAGATGCCAAGATCCCAATCTACTTCAGGCGCCTTCCCAATTCAAGAGTCTAGGGCTGGTCCCTCTTCCCTCAGGTGGTGGGCGGAGACCCACAATCTGCAGTCAACCCGCATAGTAGAAGGACGAACAACTTCCCAAGGCTACCCCTGCATCCTTTGTCGCTTCGTCGGGTCCTTTGCAACTGTCGCTGGCCATCCTCGCTCGAAAAGCGTTACAGTCGGCCCGAGGTATAAGATCAATGTCGGATCGGGGAGGGCATCCTGAATGTTATTCGTGTGTGCGTGCGTGCGTGCGTGCGTGCGTGCGTGCGTGTGTGTGTGTGTGTGTGCGTGTGTGCGTGCGTGTGTGTGTGTGTGGTGTGTGTGTGGTGTGTGGTGTGTGGTGTGTGGTGTGGTGTGTGGTGTGTGTTGTATGGTGTGTGGTGTGTGGTGTGTGGTGTGTGTGTGGGTGTGTGTGTGTGTGTGTTTGTGTTTGTGTTTGTGCTTGTGTGTGTGCTTTTATGTGTGTTTGTGTTTGTGTGCGTTTGTGATTGTGTGTGTTTGTGTTTGTGTTTGTGTTTGTGCCTGTGGTTGTGCTTGTGCTGATGCTTGTGTTTGTGCTTGTGCTTGTGCGTGTGCTTGTGCTTGTGCTTGTGCTTATGCTGGTGTTGGTGTTGGTGTTGGTGATGGTGGTGGTGTTGCTGTTGCTGTTGCTGTTGCTGTTGGTGTTTGTGTTTGTGGTGTTTGTGTCTGTGTCTGTGGCTGTGGCTGTGTCTGTGTCTGTGTGGGTGCGTGTGTGCGTGCGTGCGTGTGTGTGTGCGTGCGTGCGTGCGTGCGTGTGTGCGTTCGTGCGTGTGTGCGTGTGTGCGTGTGTGCGTGTGTGCGTCTGTGCGTCTGTGCGTGTGTGCGTGTGTGCGTGTGTGCGTGTGTGTGTGTGTGTGCGTGTGTGCGTGTGTGCGTGGGTGCGTGGGTGCGTGGGTGCGTGGGTGCGTGGGTGCGTGGGTGCGTGTGTGCGTGTGTGCGTGTGTGCGTATGTGCGTGTGTGCGTGTGTGCGTGTGTGCGTGTCTGTGTGTCTGTGTGTGCGTGTGTGTGTATGTGTGTTGGATGTCTTGGTGGGGGGGCCGGCGGAGGGTCTCATGCTCTTGGAGGATGTGTTTCTGTCCGGGGTCCAGCTGCAACATGGCCCGCCAAGGCCCTTACATCCCCACCGCGCATCCTTGTTGTACGGGTTGACTGTGCTTCATGCCACCTCTTCTGACCGGCGGGCACGCGTGGCCGCGAAGGTCAGCCCGCCGTCGGGGACGAAGATCATCCAGGCGCTCGAGCGGAGCGGCCCGTTCGGCCTGGTGACTGGCTCGTCCGCGCCGCCGCGGCTGCGGGGCATCCTGCTCGGCGACCCGGACTGGAGGGAGAAGACGCGGGCCGGGGAGCTCCTGGCCCAGGCTCGGGACGATCGGAGTTCGGTATCGTTTGTCCGATCCCCATCCCCACCTCCATCCTCTTCGAGACCCCCACCACAAGATCCGAAGGGAAAGGCCTATACCCCCATCTTGGGGGGTAGATCGGCCAGTGGGGCCCAGGCCACGCCGCTGGGGGTGGCGATCGGTTAAACGATACTCGGGAATGGGCACAGCCGGGATGGGCACGACGATCGGCGGCATCCCCCGCTCCTTGTGAGCAGGACCGGTTGTCGGTGTCGCTGCGGGCGCTGTCACCTTTGTGGCAGGAGGCCGCCTGCCCAGCAGCGGCCGCTGCCGGTTTTGGACATCAGTTGGTGCTGGGTTCGTTTTCCACCACCACCACCACCACCATAAGTTGGAGGGGGATGGGATCCTCCCCCTCCTCCTCCTCCTCCTCGTCCTCCTCCTCGTCCTCCTCCTCCTTTCCCCCCTCCAACTCATGGTGGTGGTGGTGGTGGTGGGAAACAGGCCCATCATTTGCTGCTGGTCATCGAACCCCTTCATTCCATACCCCCTCTGGGCGTCCAAAGCAGGCACGCGGGAAGCTCTCGGCCATGGGGCTGCAGACGGCGGACGGGCGCGGCGACGACGAGGCAGCAGGGCTGGACCGAAAACGGTGCTTCTCCAGCGATCTCGCGGGCCGTTTTCCGCTTTGAGCTCGCCCCGCGCGTTTCTCCTTCTCCTCCTCCTACTCCTCCTCCTCCTCCTCCTCCTCCTCCTCCTCCTCCTCCTCCTCCTCCTCCTCTCGCGGGCCGTTTTCCGTTTGGAGCGAAGCGCGAGGGGGGAAGGCCAGGCGAGAACGGAGGGCACTGTTTTGGGGGTCGAGCCCCGGCGAGGTGGTGCTCTGGAGCGACCTCGGCTCCCTCGCGGGGGCCCTGGACCGGGCGGGCGTGGGGCAGAACGACGCCGTCATATTGTTCGGGTCGAAGACGCTGGGGGCCAGGTCGGCGGCGCGCGGAGGGGGGGGGGCGGGGGCGCAGCAACAACCCCCTCCCGGGCCGTCGCGGTCCCGACGCGCGACCACAACACAGTCGGGCACACCCGGGAATGTCGTCGGACATCAGGCCACGCCTCCGCGAGACAGAGAAAAGGGGGAGACGAGGACAGGACAGGAGAGTAAGCCACCCGTTCGGCCTGACGCGGGCGGAAGCTCCGAAGCGTCAAACTGGAAATGGTGGCGTGATGCCAACACGAGGAGGATCGCGGCCAGGACTTCCCTCGGCCACCGCCCTAATGATCCGACACATATATATATATATATATATATATATCCCTGGATCAACCAAACAGAACGGGGGGGAGGCCTTCTAGGGATGAAGCTCCCTTAGAAGCCTCCCCGGCTTCTGAGAAGGCCCCGCCTTCTTGGAAGCCTTACGTTTTTTTTCGGAATACCCCTCCCCTCGCGCACGCCGCTGGCGCGCGCCGCCCCGTGCAGGGAGCCCGCGGTCCGCGAGCGCATGAAGCACGAGTGCCTGAACTGGGGGCCGGACGCCTCCCGCCATCTGGTGACCGAAGGGGGACCAGGGGGAGGAGGAGGAGGAGGAGGAGGAGGAGGAGGAGGAGGAGGAGGACCAGCAGGAGCAGGAGGAGGAGCAGGCTGAAGAGGAAGCGGAGGATCAGCTCGCGCTGCGGCGCCAGGGGCTGCCGGCGCGGGGCCTGCCTGCAGCGGCGGGCGCGCCAGCTCCAGCTCTCGTAGTAAAAGAGAGGGGGTCACAGGCCTTTTACTCAGGCCCCGCCGCCGGAGCCCTCCAAGACAGCTCAAATCAGACCCCCTTCCCACATGTGACCCCCCCAATTTTGCGATGGAATTGGGAGTAAACAGAACTGTTCGGAGTTCCGGTCGGAGTTCTTGGATCGGCGCGGGATCTTCATGGCGGCGCCTCCAGCGCCGCTCCTGGCGCGCCCGCGCGCCAGGGAGGACAGGGCCCAGCGCAGATCCAAGAAATCCGCGCAAACCTCCGAAAGTTTAGGTTTATGATGTGTGGGTTCCTAGTCTAGTTTCGGCATGCACGTTCACATGTATCTATGTATGAAAGAGCGCGTTCTGCGGTCGCTTGGAGGGGGAGGGTGCGGGGGTGCTGGTGGTGGTGGTAGTGGCGGTGCTGGTGGTGGTGAGGTGGTTTGTGGAGGTTGTTGTGGTGGTGGTGGTGGGTTGTGCTGCTGGTAGTAGTGGTGGTGGCTGTGGTGGTGAGGTGGTAGATTGTGGTGATGGTGGTGGTAGTGGTGGTGGGTTGTTGCATTGGTGGTGGCGGTGGTGGTGAGCTGTTGTGATGGTGGTGGTGGTGGCTGTGGTGGTGGTGGTTGTGTGGTGGTTTGGTAGTGGTGGTGGTGGGTTGAGGTGGTGATGGTGGTGGTCGTGGTGGTGGCGGAAGTGGTGGTGGTGGCGTGGTGGTTTGTCGTGGTAGTGGTGGTGGTGGTGGTGGTGGTGGTGGTGGTGGTGGTGGTGGTGGTGGTGGGCTGGTTGGTGTGGTGGTAGTGGTGCTGGTGGTGGTGTGGGTGTGGTGGTGGTGGTGGTGGTGGTGGGGTGTGGTGGTGGTGGGTGGTGGTGGTGGTGGTGTTGGTGGTTGGTGGTGGTGGTGGTGGTGGTGGTGGGGTGGTGGGTGTGGTGGTGGTGGTGGTGGTGGTGGTTGGGGTGGTGGTGGGGTGGTGGTGGGTGTGGTGGTGGTGGTGGTGGGTGGTGGTGGGTGGTGGTGCGGCGGTTGTGATTGTGGTGGTGGTGTGGTGGTTTGTGGTGGTGGTGGTGGTTTGTGGTGGTGGTGGTTGTGGTGGGTTGTGGTGGGTTGTGGTGGTGCTGGTGGTGGTGGCGTTTTTGGTGGTGGTGGTGGTTGTGGTGGTGGTGGTGGTGGTGGTGGTGGTGGTGAGGTGGTTTGTGGCGATGGTGGTGGTTCTGCTGATGGTGGGTTGTGGTGGTTGTGGTGGTGGTGGTTGTGGTGGTGGCGGTGGTAGTGGTGGTATGGTGGTCTGTGGTGGCGATGGTTGTGGTGGTGTGGCCTTCGGCTTTTCCCGCCATTGTGCTTTGGGTCTCGGGGGCGTCTGAGGAGCGCATGCATGCGAGGGCTCGATATGAAGATTTGTGTGTTCCCTCTGCGGCCTCTGGGCCCTCTCTGGTCATGGTCGCTGCGTCCCCGCCGTCGGCGCTGCTAGCCGCCGCCAGCGCCGGCGCCGGCGCCGGCGCGGGGGGGGGGGTTGAACCCCCCCCCCCTAGCTCCCCCCCTCCTGGGCCCTCTCTGGTCATCGTCGCTGCGTTGGCGCTGCGGCGGCCGCCAGCGCCGGCGCCAGGGGGTGGGAAGGGGAAGGAAGGGGGGGGGGTTCGGGAGGGGGGGGGGTTAGGGCGGAAGGGGAGTCTCCCTGGTGCTGATCGACGGCGCCAAGTGTTGGGGGAGGGGGGCCCGCTCCCCGGTTCGAAACGCGCCGCCGAATGTTCCCAAGGCAAGCGCCAGTGAAACGGGCTCTCTCCTATTGTACGTATGCATGTATCGTTTGTTCTTCCGTTCGATGAATGAATTATGCCAAGGCCAGATGCCTGAATTCAGTGGTTTGGTTTTCAGGGCAAGGTGATACTCATTCAGTTTGTTGTTCTGCTAGGCCAGCCAGTGGGTTTCGATCCACAACTTCGGTGCCTGGGGGAACGACAAGAATGCCAAATACTCCCTGATGAACGTCTGCATGGGACTGCTCGCCAAGCTCGGTCACGCGCCCTTCGGCATAGACACCTCTGCCTGGCGTTCGGGGCGCGGCGGGGGACGGGGCATGGTCGTCGCGGGCTACGACGTCTGCCACCTGGCCTTCAAGACTGTCCACGTCGCCGTCGGGCAGCGAGTCGAGACTGAGGATGCGAGCAGTTCCGTGGCGAGCAGGATCACCGCCAACGTGAAGCGCATAGAGGGCGAGACCGTGGACGCAGAGATGCTGCGGAGGATCGTGCCGCTAGAGGCTGCGAGCGGCAAGGTGGTTTTTGTCCACAGGGACGGCCGCTTTCCCACCGACGAGCTCGAGAGCTGGCAGAAGTACTACGAGGAGGAGCTGAAGCCGACGGGGGCTACCCTGATTATGGTCGAGATCGTCAAGCTCGTGGGCGGGGTGCCGAGGATATACCGAAGCAGCCAAGGGGGGCGCCTCGAAAATGTCGACGAGGGAACCTACGTGCAGTGGTCTGACAAGAACGCCTACATTGCGACAACGTCGGGAAGCCAAGGAGGAGGCGGGACGGTGAACCCGCTCAACATCCACCTGCGGATGACGCTGGGCGAGGCGTCGGACATCGACCGCAAGGCCTGGATCCACAGCGTCTTCGACCTCAGCTACCTGCACCACGGATCCGTCTTCAAGGCGCCGAAGCTACCGATGACGACCTACTTCTCCGACCGGCTTGCGTACATGGTGGCGAAGGGCGACATCCAGTGGGACGCGAAGGTTCGGATGCAACCCCTGGGAGGTCAAATTGTGGCTTTGCGCTGGTCCGAAATCAGGCTCAATCCCGCTTAGTACCTTTATATCCGGCTCCATCCCGCGTTCTCCGGCGGAGTCCCGCCTGCTATCCGCGGCCTGCTCCGGCGCAGCAGCCTTCCACCGGGGCCGCATGCTCCCCGATTTCGCCAGCGCAGACCTCCCAGCAATGCCCACGAGCGCAGGTCGCGCAGAGGATGAGCAGCTCGCAGCAGCCCTGGCTCTGAGGTGGCCACGCCCCGCGGCGCGCCGCGGCCCGGCGGGCGAGGGCGCGGGCAGGGCCGAGGGGGCCGCCGCGCGCCCTTCTGTCGGGGGCGGCCCGGAGGGGGGTGATGGCCAGTGCAAGTGGCGATGACGAGCTGGAAGTTCATGACCGAAGCCCCTTCCCCCGCGCGCCTGCTCAAGACTTCAAGCCGTCGTTCCGGGCCCAAGAGGAAAAGCTCCTCGTCCTGGGGATGTGTCGTGCCGGGGGCCATGATGTCTCCCCATATTTCATGGCGCCTCTTCTTATTTCAACACGTCCCTGGCTCCGCCCTGGGCCGCACACATGCCGCAGGCCACGGTTTGTTCCCCCCCTCTTGGAGTCCCCTCTCTTGGCCGCCCCCGACTCTGGCACGGAGGCTTGTGCCTGTCGCGCCAGGGCCCTCGTCGGGGGTAACGGTAGGGAGGGGGGGGGGGGAAAGGCATGGGGGGGGTGATGCATCGACCCCCACTCGCCCATTGATCGCCGATAGGAGCCCGATAGCCCTGAGCTGCCCAGGAACGTGCGGGTTCACTATCGAGGGCCCAGCGCCGACCCATCGGCGATGTATTGCCGATTCTGGGTCAATGCGTCCCTCCCCGTTAGGGGAACAAAAAGTTACATAAACATAAAAACTCGGAGGTCCGCGCGGATTTCTCGGATCGGCGCTGGACCCCCCTCCCTGGCGCGCCTCCGGCGCGCCAGGGGCGGCGCCGGAGGCGCCGCCGGGGGGCCCCAACGCCGATCCGAGAAATCCGCGCGGACCTCCGAGTTTTTCTGTTTATGTCACTTTTGGTTCCCCTATACCCGTGCCAGCCCCCCCTTGTCGTTGCCCCTCATCCCTGGGGCCCAGACATCCGGCGCCTCGAGGAAACCCGGGCATCGATCGGACGCGTGCACTCTTCTCGGCGAGGCCGGCGCCGGAAGATCCAGACAGTGTTGTTGAGTCGGGCCTGTCCCCCTACAGAAGGGTTTTGGACGAAAAACAATAGATACCCCCAAAATGGTCAAAAATGATATTAATAATAATGAGAAGAAGAAGAAGAGAAAAATAGTCTGGGGACTATTGTTTGAGTATTTGTGTTTACCTTTTTGGGGCATTGTTGGGGTATTTTTGTATTTGTCGTCGAAACCCCCCCCTGTAGGAGGACCCCCCCGACGTAACAGTGTTGGAGCACGCCGGGCCGCCTCCAGCATCGCGCACGGAGGCCGAGCACCGCACGGGGTGTGGGCGTCCGAGCGACGGCCAGAGAGGTCGAGGCGAGCACTCCAGATTCCGTAGTAAAAGGGAGGGGGTCTGGACCCTCCAAGACAAGCCAGTTCAGACCTCCCCCGTGGGAGAGCCCTCCAAAACATCGTCCCCAGACCCCCCAGGCCCTCCAAGATAGCCTGGAAGAGACCCCCCCCCGAATAGGCCGAGGAGGGCAGGGTGCAGGGGGTACTCCAGGTTTCGTAATGCAGGGAGGGGGGTCTCATTTCGGGGGGGGGGTCTCTTCCAGGCTATCTTGGAGGGCCCGGGGGGTCTGGGGGCGATGTTTTGGAGGGCCCTCCCACGGGGGAGGTCCGAAATGGCTTGTCCTGGAGGGTCCAGACCCCCTCCCTTTTATTACGAAATCTGGAGTGCTTTCGACAGCGTGCGCGAGGTCGCCGGGCCGCGCCGCGAAGGGGTCGAGGCGCCGGATGGCTGGAGGCCAGGACGCTGCAGACCAGGATTCTGCCAAATCCACCGGGAGAGAACGGCAAGGAATGGGGAATGCCGAAGGTATCGACTCGCGGCTGAGTATTTTCGACAGTCTGCGAGCGGTCGCCGGGCCGCGCCTCGAAGGGGTCGAGGCGCCGGATGGCTGGAGGCCAGCGCCGTTGCTCGGGCCGGACGAACGGAGGGGATTGGGAAAGGGGGGGGTACGAAATTTCCCGCATGCAGCTGGTTTCGGCCCCACCGAGGGGCCCATTCCTCAATACGTAGTCGCCCCCGGCGCGGGGAGGCGCCGGGAAAATCAGCTACGTGAGCTGATTCTCAAACCCCCCCTTTGCTATCCCCCCCTCTCGCCCGACCCATGCTGCAGACCAGGATTCTGCCAAATCTAGCGGGAGAGAACGGAAGGAATGGGGAATGCCGAAGGTGTCGACTCGCGGCTGCAGTTTTTTTTTCCCTGGGCGCACCAGTATCCTGGCGTCGCTCGGACGTGTGCACTTTTTCTCGGCGAGAACCATCGAGGACCATCCTGGACCATCGAGCAAAAAAACACGCACGAAACCAAAACATGCACAGGAAATGGACGTCCGAACGACGGCCAGGTGTCCTGGTGCATCAGGGAGGCCCCGTTCACGGGGCGCTGATCGCATTTTCGGTCCTCCTCTTCAGGCCCCTCTCGGCACGAAGCAGACGGGTCCTGTGGGAAACGGGTCCCCGAGTTTTGATCGCCGTTTCCTGCCCCCCCCGGGCCCTCCTCCGCGCGCCCCAGGACCTAGTCGAGCATCGACCCAGGATGAAGAGCTGGTCCAGGGGGAAGGCCCGGGTGCGCAGGGCCCGTTTCCCTCCAGACCCGTTTGTTTCATGCACAGATGTCTCTCCTCTCCTTCTCTCTCTCCTTCTCTCTCTCTCCCTCTCTCTCCCTCTCCCTCTCTCCGTTCTCTCCGTTTTCTCTCTCTCTCTCTCTCTCTCTCTCTCTCTCTCTCTCTATTTATTTATATATAGATCATTTGTTTGTGTTGTTCCTCTCTCTTTCTCTCTCTCTCTCTCTCTCTCTCTCTCTATATATATATATATATCTATGTATGTATATATATATATATGTGTGTGCTCCTCTTCTTATCTGTTTATAAGACTGGGCGGGGGGACCCCCCCAAAAAAAAAACTGACTCCCGGGATCCGGGGCTTTGGGACCTTCCGGACGGGCCTCGAAGCGGACCCCCGGGCCTCGCAGGGCGTTTTGTCGAGCCTTCCCAGCACACCTAGGGCGATCAGGGGGGTCATCGGAGACGTCTCAGAGACCCCAAAGACAGCACAAGAGCGCTCCAAGAGTGACCGACGTGACCTCAAGATAGCCCGAGAGGCCTCCAGGACGGCCCCAAAGAGGCTTCCAAGAGCACTCCCAACAAGGCCCCAAGAGGCACAAATCATGGATTTTCTGTTGGTGTTTGGCGAATTGTGGGGTTCTCCTCTTTTCGGCTTCCCGACGCTCCAAGACGGCGGTCTTGTGGGCGTCCGAAGCCGACTGTCAGGCTCCAAAATCGCCCCGAAAGGGCTTTCAGGCAGTCCAAGAGAGCCCCAAGACGGCACAACACGGGTCCAAGATGGCCCTCAGAGAGCCCCATGGCGGCCCAAGATGGCCCCAAGACGCCCTCCGAAGCATTCCAAATCGTGACCCTGTCGTTCAGGGAGACCGCGGTTGGAGGCAGGGTGGCCCGAGGAAGCAGAGGCCCCCAGAATACGCCCAGGAGGCCTCGAGAAGGCTTTAAGAAAGCCTGAAGCAACTTTTGTGAGGCCCCCAGAGGCTCTCCCAGGAGGAGCCTCCACAAAAAAGAGCTGAGGAGGATGGGGAGAATGCGCAGGGTATGGCGAAAATGAGGAAAAAAGAAGCATGGAGGAGGGATAACGAATAACATTATCATAGCGGCGATGCCGGAAAAGGCAACAAGGAGTCATCGCTAACTTGTCGGCTTGACCTTCCTGCTATTCCGCCTGCATGCCGAACTTCAAGGACCAAGGTGCATGGCGCGAAGTGCCACTGCAGTCTTGTGTATAGATATATACATATATGTATATGTATGTGATTCCTTTTTTAATGTCACTCTCAAATTCTCTCTGTATGTATAGGTGTGTCTCTCTCTCACTCTCTCTCTCCCTCTGTATCTCTCTCTCTCTCTCTCTCTCTCTCTCTAGCTTTCTGTGTATATCTCTCTCTCTCTCACTCTCTCTCTCTCTCTCTTTCTATGTATAATTCTCTCTTTCTCGTGTGTATATGTATATTGAAACGATACATGGCTGTATGCATAGATTTTCCTCTCTCTCTCTCTCTACATATACAGATGTGTGTATAGATCTGATGCCTCTGTTTTCTCTCTGTCTATATGTTGTGTCCCTCTCTCTCTCGCTCTCTCTCTCTCTCTACATATACATATATATATACATATATATATATACATGCGTACATACATGTATGCATGTTTATATGTATGTGTATACATACATGTGTATATACCTATGTATATATATGCATGTATGTATGTTTGTATGTATGTATGCATCTATGTATGTATGCACGCATGTATATATGTATGTATGTATATACATATGCATTTATACATATATATAAATAAATATGTATTCGACTCATCTGTTTTCATAGGGTCGGGGACCCCAGAAAGAGCGCATCCCCCCTAACCTCCCCACAAAAAACGCATTTTGAATCCTCGGGCCTGTCTTGCGTGTTGGGTTTTCGCTGATTCTAGACTCTCCGGGCCCTCTTGGGCCAGCCTTAGGCCTCTTTGGGGCTCGTTTGGGGACTCATTTGGAGCCGTCCTGAGGCCATCTCCACGCCTCAAGAGCCGATCGTAAGGGAAAAAACGAGAAAACAAAATTCATTATTTTCCTCATGGGTTTTCATTCATTCTCAATTCTCTGGGCATTCTTCGGCCAGCCTTGGGCCTCTTTGGGGCTCGTCTGGGGGCTCACTTGGAGCCGTCCTGGTGCTGTCTGGGCGCCTCAAGAGCCGATCGTAAGCGAGAAAAGGCGACAAGGCCAAAAAGATTGATTTCCCTTTGGTTTATCATTGAATTTCAATTATTTCGGCCTTCTTCGGCCAGCCTTGGGCCTCTCTGGGCCTCGGCTTGCGCCTCTCTGGAGCCATCCTGGGGCTACCTTGACGTCTCCCGAGCTGACCGGAAGCGAAATGGCGAGAAGATCGAAAACATTGTTTTTCCAATGTGTGTTTTTTAAACATTGATGTTCGAAACCCCGGGCCCTCTAGGGCCAGTCTGTGCCCTCTTTGGGGCTCGTCTGGGGACTCATTTGGAGCCGTCCTGGGCCTATCTTGATGCCTCAAGAGCCAATCGGAAGCGACAAGGTGAAAAGACCAAAAGCAGTTGTTTCCAATGGATTATCACGGATTCTCAATTCTTTGGGCCCTCTTCGGCCAGCCTTGGGCTTCTGTTGGCCTCAGCTTGCGCCTCTCTGAGGCCATCCTGCGATCATCGTGACGCCTCCCGAGCCAACCGGATTGGAAAAGCGAGAAGGCCGAACACATTGCTTTTCCAATGGGTTTTCTTTGATTTCCGACTCTCTGGGCCCCGTTGAGCCAGCCTTGGGCCGTTTTGGGGCTCGTCTGGGGACTTATTTGGAGGCGTCCTGGGGCTATCTTGACGCCCCAAGAGCCGATCGTAAGCGAAAAGGCGAGAAGGCCAAAAACATTGTTTTCCAAACGGGTTTTCATTGATTCTCAATTCTCTGGGCAATCTTCGGCCAGCCTTGGGCCTCTTTGGGGCTCGTCTGGGGACTCATTTGGAGCCGTCCTGGGGCTATCTTGACGCCCCAAGAGCCGACCGTAAGCGAAGAGGCGAGAAGGCCAAAAACGTAGATCCCCTTATGGTTTTCATTGAATATCAATTATTTCGGCCTTCTTGGGTCAGCCTTGGGCCTCTTTGGGGCTCGAAGCCGGCAGCCCAGCAGCGCGCATGCCGAAAATAGCATGTTCTATAGGAGGTGGAGGAAGAGGAGGAGGAGGAGGAGGAGGAGGAGGAGGAGGAGGAAGAGGAGGAGTGAGATGAGGAGGAGGAGGAGGTAGAGGAGAAGGAGGAGAAGGAGGAGAAGGAGGAGGACAAGGAGAATTAAATTAGAGGAAGAAGGGGAGAGAGGAGAGAGGATGAGGATGAGGAGGAGAAAGAGAAGGAGGAAAAGGGAGAGGAGGAGAAAGAGAAGGAGCAGCCCTGCTTCATGCTAGCCCAACCACTCGCCTGAGACATATTCGCGCCTCTGGGCCCCGAAACGCCCTGAGATGGCCTCACCTGGTGTTGTCCGGTCGCTCCCGCTCAGAATTTTCTCACCCATTCCGACTTGGCGGTGGCCCGCCCCATGTCCACGCGCACGCACGCCGCCTGCATTCGAAACTGCAAGGAACAAGGTGCATGGCGCGAGCGCCACTGCAGTCTTGTACTATCGGAGGTGAGGGGGTGAGATCGAAGTTAACGGAAAGCCCCCCGACCGGGAAATCGGTTTCAGCTTCGTGTTTGCGTGCCGTGCGTGCGGGCGAGGCGAAGCTGCGTGGGCGCGCGAGAAATGTCCCGCCTCTGGCTGAGGCGCGGCCGGGCCAAAAGTCTCCCTTCTGGCAACCGGTGCCGCGCGGTGTCCCGCTGGTGTCCCGCCAGTGTCCCGTCGGTGTCCCGATGATGATGATGATGATGATGATGATGATGATGATGATGATGATGATGATGATGATGACGATGTTGTTGATGATGATGACGATGGTCATTGTGGTGATAATGATGGTGTCCCGATGATGATGATGATGATGATGTTGATAATGATGATGATGGTGATGATGCTGATGATGCTGATGTTGCTGATGATGATGGTGTCCCGATGATGATTAAAATGATGTTGATGATCCTGATGATGTTGATGATGATGAGATGATGAAGATGAAGATGATGATGATGGTGTCCCGATGATGATGATGATGAGGTTGATGATGATGCCATTGATGAGAATGATGATGATGGTGTCCCGATGATGATGATGTTGATGATCATGATGATGACGATGATGGTGTCCTGATGGTGATGATGATGATGAGGTTGATGATGAGGGTGATGATGACCAGATGATGATGTTGATGATGATGATGATGTTGATGTTGATGATGATGGTGATGATGATGGTGTCCCGATGATGATGATGATGATTATGATGATGGTGATGATGATGATGGTGACGATGGCGATGGTGTCCCGATGATGATGATGATGATGATGTCGATGATGATGATGGTGATGCTGATAATGATGATGGGGTCCCGATGATAATGATGTTGACGATTTTAGTGATGATGATGAGATGATGATGATGATGATGATGGTGGTGGTTTGATGATGATGATGATGATGATGGTGTCGATGGTAATGATGATGGTGATGGAAATGATGGCCATGGTGGTGATGATGATGGTGTCCCGATGATGATGATGTTGATTCTGCGGATGTTGCTGATGATGGTGATGGTGTCCCGATGGTGATGATGATCTTGATGATGTTGACGATGATGACATGATGATGGTGATGGTGGTGAGGATGACGATCATGGTGTCCCGATGATGATGATGAGGTTGATGATGATTATGTTGATGATGATGTTGATGATGATGGTGATGATGATGGTGTCCCGATGATGACGATGAGGTTGACGATGACGATGATGATGACGATGCTGGTGTTCGATGATGATTCTGATGATGCTGATGAAGAGGATGATGATGAGGTGGTGATGATTTTGATGATGGTGGCCCAAGGGTGATGATGATGCTGATGTTGAGGACGATGATGGTGTCCCGATGATGATGATGGCGGTGGGGATGATGGTGGGAACGATGATGATGGTGTCCCGATGATGATGAGGTTGGTGGTGATGTTGTTGATGATGGTGTCCCGATGATGATGATGATGTTGACGATGTTGTTTTTGATGATGATGATGATGAGATGAGATGATGATGGTGGTGGTGTTCTGATGATGATGTCCCCGATGATGATGATGTTGATGATGATGGTGACGATGATGGTGGCCCGGTGATGATGATGATGGTGATGACGTGATGGTGATGATGATGGTGTCCCGATGATGATGATGATGATGTTGATGACGTTGGTGACGATGATGCCAATGATGGTGATGATGACGTTGATTGTGAGATCGATTGTGATAGCGATAGTGAGATCGATAGTGAGACCGAATGTGAGATAGATTGTGAGAGCGATAGTGAGATCGACTGTGAGATCGATAGCCATATCGATTGTGAGAACGATCGAACGAAATAGATCGAGTGATATCGATTGTGAGATCGATTGAGTGAGATCGATCGAGCGAGACAGATCGCCAGATCGATAGTAAGATCGATAGTGAGACCGATCGAGTGAGACGTTGGTTTCCTCCCCCCCGAACTTCCTTATCACCCGAAGGGTGGTCGTATAGGTGCGTGTATATATATATATATATATATATATGTATCCTCTGCTCGCGGAGCTGTCGGTGCCGCTGTCTATGCTCACATCGCCCAGCGAGGGAGTCACTGGCTCAGAAAGAGGAGCACGAACAGGAGGAGCGGGAGGAGGTAGAGAAGAACGGGAGAAACGAGGGAGGCAGGCGATTTAGAGATCAGGTTGCCATCGATGCCATTGGGCGGGTCCGTGGCCATAGGCGCCCCACGCTCTCAGACTTTCACAGGCGCCTGAGTAGTGCTCCGCTTTCCTCGCTCCTGGGCACGGCCTCCGCTGCGCTGATTTCTGACAGCTCGCATCCCACTCTCCATACCAGTCCTGAGTTCCGGGCTTCAGTGCCGAGTTTGTGATTGGAATGCACGCCGCTGGGGAGCCGCGTGCCTGGGGCACCTCTCGAGCACAGTTGCCACAATTGTAGGATGGCTTTCAAGCCTGGGGATCTTGCTGACGCGCGTGGGGAAGCGCGAGTTCCAAATTCCCACCTGAGGGCTCAGCTTTGCTCCGGGTGTCTTCATGTACCCTCTCATCCAACACCAATATCAGCATCAGTGGATCCCCCCTCATTGTCCGTATTTCCCTCCTTTCCATCTTGCTGCCCCGTCGCCATCCATCCTTCCCTCCATGTTCAGTCCCGCAATCCATCCATGCCCCTACTCCCATTGCTCCTACAGCTTATTCGACCCCGCGTCAACGGCTTTCGCGCATCTCATTCTAAGGATGGGCTCTTAGGAACTGGCAGCCCCCTCAACGCACTCCACTTGGACGTGTAGTCGAACGACCGGGGACATCTCGACCTCTTGTTAACGCAGTTGTCTGATGATTGTGCCAAGCGCGGATGCTCTTGGGTTGGACAGCCAGCGGTGTTGTGAGTTTCCCTCCACCGCACCTTCTTCCTCTTCCTCGTCCTCTCCCTCCGCCCCCCTGCGTCTCGCGCACTCCTCTCCCACGCCAGCCCTTTTCCCCCCCCCCGCTGGACCCCCAGCGGCAACGGCTGCGGCCGCGCCATCGCGTCCTTCTCCAACGTGGCGCCCCCCGTGCTGGCGGCCCAGGGCAGGGTGGCCGCCGCCCGGGGCATCTCCCCCGCTAGGGAGGGGGCACCGCTGCCGCTGCCGAGCGCGCCGGAAAGGCAGGGGGCCCTTTGCTCACGGCGACGACGGCAAGAGCGAGATCGAGCGAGAGAGCTCCCAGGCGCTCTGCAGGACTGCGAGGCTGAGCGAGAGCCGGGCGAGCGCGTCAGCGGCAGCGGCCACTCCTGCCTCTGCACGAACGAAATGGGCACGGAAAGAATGGGTACAATGCCCAACAGCGGATCCTGTTCATTTTGAACAGGACTCGCGGTCCACGCCGCCGCGGCCCGTGTCCATTCGAGACAGAAGCCCGCCTGCCCAACAGCGGCCGCTGTTGTTTTGGGACAACATTCGTTGTTGGGCATTGTGCCCATTCTTTCCGTACCCATTTCGGGCGTCCAAACGGGACCTCCGGAGGCGTGAGTATCTCTGGGCGGTCGTTTCTCAGACCGGCGGCGAGCGAGGGGAGAAGGAGAGGGCTTGCTCAGGAGGCGGCGGGGCTGCTCCGAAGCCCTCGAGCACTCCGAGAAGTTGTGTGTGTTGTGTCTTCGGGGCAGGCTCGTGGGAAGCTTCTCAGAATTCCGAGCCTTCTGAGAAGGTTTTCTCCTTCTCACTTGCCCCCCTCGCCCGTCGCCGATCATAGCTTCGTCCTCCAGAAGCCGTTTTCGGGCGCTGAGGGCCTCAGAGCAGGAGCCCAGTCGAAGAAGAAGGAGTTCCGCCTGGGCGGCGACGGGGTTGAGAGCAAGTGCGGCACATCCCCCCTATCGTCTCCATGCCCACTCAGATTGTGCCTTCCCTTTCCCCCCGTCTCCGCTTGACACCCAGACGTCCTACATGGACACATACGGCATGCTCCTCCGAATGATCCTCCTGCTCCTCCTCCTCCTCCTCCTCCGAATGCTCCTCCTCCTCCTTCTCCTCCTCGCCCTCCTCCTCCTCCTCCTCCTCCTCCTCCTCCTCCTCCTCCTCCTCCTCCTCCTCGCCCTCCCCGTCCCTCTTCCTCCCCCCCCTCCTCCTCACCTCCCCGCATCCACGCCCCGCAGGGTCCCCGTCACTGGGCGGCACCCAAGAGCAGGAGAGGATGGAGGAGCTAGCCGTTGAGCTGTCCGTAAGTGTTTACACCCTGCGGTGAAGCGTCCACCCCGCGCAGTGTGCCAAAACCCCGCAGGGCCTATAGGCCATCGGCGCCGAGGCGGGGGCGTCGCGGGGAGGAGGAGAATAAAGAGAGGGAGGACGAGGAGGAGGAGGAGGAAGAGGAGGAGGAGGAGGAGGAGCGGGAGTAGGAGGAGAAGCAGGAGCAGGAGCAGGAGCAGGAGGAGGAGGAGGAGGAGGAGCAGGAGGAGCAGGAGCAGGAGGAGGAGGAGGAGAAGGAGAAGGAGAGGAGAAGGAGAAGGAGAAGGAGAAGGAAGGAGAAGGAAAGGCGAAGGAGAAGGAGAGGAGAGGAGGAGGAGGAGGAGGCGGAGGAGGAGGAGGGAGGAGGAGGAGGAGGAGGAGGCGGGAGGAGGAGAGGAGGCGGAGGAGGAGGAGGAGGAGGAGGAGGAGGAGGCGGGGCGCGGAGATGAGCACGGATGGCCTCTGACTCCACGCCCCGTGGGGCCCCCGTCGCTTGGCGGCCCCCACGAGCAGGAGAGGAAGGAGGACAAAGAGGAGAAGGCGGAGGCGTAGCAGGGGCACTGTGGATGTGTGACAATCGCCCCCCCTTGAATCCGCTTGGGGGAGGAGGGGGAGGAGGAGGGGGAGGATGAGGAGGAGGAGGAGGAGGAGGAGGAGGAGGAGGAGGAGAGGAGGAGGAGGAGGAGGAGGAAGAAGAAGAAGAAAGAAGAAGGGAGGAGGAGGAGGAGGAGAAGGAGGAGGATGCGGGGGAAGGGGGAGGGGAGGGGGATGGACAGGAGTGGGGGAGCGAGGAGGAGGAGGAGGAGGAGGAGGAGGAGGAGGAGGAGGAGGAGGAGGAGGGAGAGGAGGAGGAGGAGAAGGTTCAAAAGGAGTAGGAGGAGGAGGAGGAGGAGGAGGAGGAGGAGAAGGAAGAGTCAGTGGCCGCTCGCTCCGCCGTTCGAGCGTCCAAACACTGGCGCACACAGCCGTGCCCCACTCCGATCCAGCTGTGCACACAACCGTGCCCCGCCGATCCAGCCCCTCGCAAAACCTGCTCGGCCAGCCGCCAGGGCGGAGGCCAACGCGTTCGGAATCTGGCGGGCCGCGCGGGGCCAAGAGCACGCCACGGCGCGGAAGGTGAGGACAGGGGTAAGGAACCACGGGATAAGGAACCCACGGTCTCGAAGCTGGTGGAGCTCCACCGTTTTGCGGGCCCCCCGCGTGAGCCCTGATGTCAGGAGCGGTCGCCAGGCTGTCCCGGCCACGGACGAGACACGTCACCTCCTTGGCTGCCGACATGTGGGCCACTTGGAATTTGGCCAGCCTCGGCCGTCAGCGCGACGCGGTCCCCAGACCCAAGGTGCGGGTCGGACGAAGGGGGAGTATAGAAACGGGGGATTCCGAAGTTTACTGCATGCAGCTGGTGTCCATCCCGCCGCCGAGCGCCTTCCTCGATACGTGGGCGCCTCCGACGCCGGGAGGCCCCAGGGGAACCAGCTACGCGAGCAGATTCGCCAGCGCCCCCTTCCCTCTACTGCTCCCCCCTGCCCGTCCGTCCTGGAAGTCGTGCGCCGCGCCCGGAGCTCGGCGCGGCGAGTCCAGAGCCAGAGCCGTGCGGGGCACAGCTGGCGGTAGGGGGGAGGGCATCACCCGGGCAGGCCCGGCGCACGCCGCTCCGGAGAGGAGCCCACCGGAACGCTCCCGGATCGTCGCGGAGCATCCCGGAGAAGCCACGGCACCCGACGCATCCAGACCCGCTGGCCTCAGCGATTCCAGATCTGTATTCATGTGGGTTGGTACTCATCCTGGTCTAGTCCTAAGTCTCTCCAGGCAGGTCCACCAGCCACCCGGCGGAAGCCCGCGTGGGAGACGCCTACACAGATAGGGCCAGGATGCATGTCGCCCGATTCCTACGAGGACATAAGTTTCGTCAGTCTGGCCGCCATGGAGTTGATTGAGATATTGGGGGGCATCACGGCAAACATGACAATTATTTAGTACACGATAGACAACCAGAAGCAGAAGGCGGTGAAGCTAGAACACACGTGGAAAGAAGGCCACAACAACCCCTCGCACATCATTTACAGGCTGGGGTATAGATTCTGATACAGGCTCATCGGGACCTTGACCAAGCACACCGAACAGTACCAACACGTAATGGGCACTATAAGCGTCGTGTCGAACTACTGAGACCCGCCGATCGATTCGATCACGCTCGGGCCATGGGAGATTGACCACCACTCGTCGTCGTCGTCGTCGTCGTCGGAGGAGGAGGAGGAGGAGGAGGAGGAGGAGGAGGAGGAGGAGGTTTGCGAGAAAGGCAAGGGCAAGGGCCAAACCAGCACGATCAAGAAGAAGAAGGCGGCAACGCGAGGGGCACCAGGGGGACTGTAGGACAAAGGGTCTCAAGATGCCGGAAGGGAGGCCCCAGCTGGAGTTGGCTGAAAAGTAAAACCGAGGGCACGATAAGCAAGAGCCACCGAAGGGTAACCACACCACAGCATCCCGACGAATGCGCAAATGCATGGGGACCCCAAAGGCGGCCACGACGGGACCCAGGTGGCAGCAGGTGAGCAGTAGCAAAGAAGGCTCACGTTCGGGACTTCATCAGACATGAACCACAGCAAAGAGCTACCGACACCAGAAACGGCACACCGACGTGGGAGTTGGCGCACGTCAAACTGCTGAACTTCGCAAAAAGGGTGTACGACCAGGTGGGCAGGATCAACGCAGTCTTGAGGGGACACCCAGGAGCATAAGTTCAAAGTGGAGTGGGCGCTTAGCAACACGATGGCGCAGAAGGAGACCAGCCCGACCGCCAGCGAGGTGCAGAAGGCCTCGAGCATTGCGACGCTCAACTACCACAACAAGAGGCTCGACGTCATCATCATAGAGGACGTCCTCAAGATCAGGGGCCTCATGCTGGAGAAAAGCAGCTCCCCGCTAGGCGAGGCTTTGGCCAACTTCGAGGAAACGGAGCAGTACAACACGCCCTGGGACCCAGAGGACGAGGAAAGCTGGGTTGCGCACGGTTGGCAGAAAACGGGGAGAGTAAATGGGTGTCGCCGGAGATTGGCTTGCAACTTCCTTTCTCTCATTCTTAAGATTGCAAGCCAATGGAAGAAAATGTTTAGAAAAAAGAGAGTGTTGAAGAAAACGTGATTAGTTCAGAATTTTTATTTTGGACAGCATTCAGCCCGAACAAGGAGGAGACGTCGAAGCCATTCGGATGGCAAAGCCACAAGGCGGAGGAAGAGGAGAAGGACGACAACGGCGAGGTCATCAAGACCGAGGGGGTCCAGGAGACGCTGCAGGACTACGGTGGGCGGACAAAAAGTGTCCACATTTGTCGCGCCAAGACAACTCGTCGTCAAATCACGTCGAACGAATATGTATACCCCCCTTTCCCCCAACTCAAAGTTGGCGGGGTTAGGCGGCAGGCCGCGCGCCAGGGACAAAATGTGGACACTTCAACTTTGGGTTTTGGGGGGGAGGGGTGCGAGGCAAGTGCATCATGCCGTTGCGGTTGTTATCACGTCGCAGTGTTTTGCCGCCCTGGGTGTGGACATTTTTTGTCCGGGCACCGTACCACATTGTCAGCCCGAAGAGCCAGACGCACGAGCAGCTGCTACAGGTCAAGAGGGACTACCAGGGCACGGCGGCAACCACCGGCATCGAGAAGGGCTTGTCAGACCGCATGTGCTCGCGGCCAAGGCCATCGTCAAGCAGAGCGAGAAGATGAACAATACCGAGAACGAGGACGGCAGCGAGGGTGGCAAACAGAGCGAGACCAAGGGCAAGTAGTAGAAGCGGTGCCAGCGCTGTGCTGGACGCACTTAGAGCTCCAGGGGACCCCGCGAGCCCCATTCAAAACACCCTGGTATCAGGCCCAGCGGACCCAGGAGAAAAGCTGAGGGGACCGCAGGATCCGACGCAGAAAGGCCACATGGTGAGTAATGCAGCAACTACGGCGCGGAAGTAGGGGGCGGCACTGCGGTGCGACGACCGATCGATGGTGAGTACTACAAAAGACCAAAACTGGTGGAAGCACACCGTGGTCGACGAAGGGATGCCAACGCAAAGGACCTCCAGGGAGCCCACCTTGCCTCGGTCCCCTCGCCCTCAAACAGGACCTCCAAAAGCCCTGGGCACCCCTCCAACCCCAACTCGACAGGGACCGCTCTGCCGCGGAGGCTAGCACACCTTGTTTCAGAGTCAGCTCGCACGGCGCAGCAGACTGCAGGAATCCCGGGCATAGCAGACAGGATCCGTGCTCGCGAGGGTCAGAACGCCGACGGACCGAGTGGAGGCGCACAGAATCGTCAAAGAACAACGAAGCTGACATCGCTAAAATCAGAGATATTCAGAACCAGACAGAGCAGGTTCCCTTTGACGCCGAACAGCACATCAGGTACATCTGAAGACGGCCGCATGTCCGAAAGCTCGGAATCCTCGAGGCACACAGGCGCAATGCACAAAGTGCAGGACGGGGGAGACCTCGAGCATCAGGAGAAAACCCAGTAGCTCAAACTCCGGATCGAGATGCAGGGAGGAGATCCGAGGGCGGCCACTCCCGAGGGATGAGGGGGCAGAGCAGCGCCCGCCGCGGCCGCCCGCGGCCGACGCTAGATACAAGAAGGTCAGCCTCCCCCGCCTGCCCCGCCCCCCTTCCCCGACGGCCCCCGCCGCTTGCGCTCGTCCCCCGGCGGCAGGAGCTGCGAGGCCGGACCGCTTGCCGACCTGCGCCGCCAGAGAAGCGCACCGACCCCTTACACAGCGGGACAGAGGGAACGCTGGAGTGCGTCGCGGGAGGAACGAGGAGGAGTGTTCCGGCACAGCGACTTCCAGCTAGAGGAGCGATCAGGTAAACAGTGAAAGGTTCGAGCTTCCAGGAACGAGTCTCTCCATCCCGTCTGCACGGGTCTCGGGGGGCGGTGCACGCCGCGATGGCTTGCAGGCCCATCCCCCCACCTACCCCGTTACATGTGGCACGCGCTCGCGCGTCGGAGTATCCCTCCGCCAACGCCTCAGCAGCCTGCAACGCCCGCTGCCCCAGGCAAGCAGGAAGGCCCTCCTAAGGAGTGAGGGTCCTGCATACAAATTACACGCGCAACTGTCCCAGTGTTCTTCCCAGCTGTAGGGGCACTGACCCTCAGGTGCCCAGTTCCTCCTCTTCCTCCTCGTCCTCCTCCTCATCCCCTCCCCGGTTGTCCTCCGTCTCCCCCTCCTCCTCCTCCTCCTCCTCATCTGCCTCCTCTCTCTCTCTCTCTTTGTCCTCCTCCCCACCCCTCCTCCTGCTCCTGCGCGCCGATCGCATGGGCGGACACGTCGCCACCTCCTTCCGCTCCTCACCCTCCTCGTCATCACCGTCGTCCCTCGCCCCCGATGGCCCTTCCGCGTCCCCCCTCGTTCATCCTCCCCCTCCTCTCCGCCACTCCGCCCCGGCAACTCCTCGCGGTTCGTGCCGTGCCCTCGTGCACGCTTCGCCCTCGCGCCTCCTCCCCCCGCCGCCTCCTCTCGGTCGGACCCGCCGCTGCCAAGCCAGGCGACGCTGCTGCACCCACACTGGCACCCCGGCAGTGCGCAGGCGGGGCTGGCCGCGTGAAAACCGGGGGCGGCAAAGAGGGGGGTGATGACCAGGGGAGGGGGCTATCATGGCGGGGGCCATGATGTCTCCCCAGATGTCATGGCGCCTCTTCTTCTTCCATTACGTCCGCGCCCCCCCCCGCCCCACCCCGGGCCGCGCACATGCCGCCAGCCATGATTTGCGCCCCCCCTCTTGGACGCCCCCCCCTCTTGGCCGTCTCCGAGAAAAGCACGTCCACCCTCGCAGGGAGAGGGGTGATCCTGGACAGCAGGCGCGTCTAAGAATAAAGTTCGGTCTGCCAGCTGGCGCCAAACGGAGATGTCATACCCTCCAACGGCCCCAGGGACCCAAACAAGCTCTGTGGCTCCTGAGGGCCCAGATCAACGAAGGATGTGCCCCAGGATGTATGATAGCACTGTTTCTTGCCGCTAGTCTACTGTACTTGAGGATGCGAAGAGGCATTATCTGACTTACGGCCTTTGCAAAGGGGACGGCCATGCGATATCTGGGTCGCCCCAGAGACAATCGCGCTTCGCAGTCTGCGCGCGAGGGACGTCCCTCTCCAGGGGGATGCGCTGGGACGCGAAGATGATCGCGAATCGCGAAGTTGAGTAACCTAAGCGGTATGTTCGCGGCACCATTTCGAAACCATTGGCTGAAATGTGGCCTCGCGTTCGCGCCACGTGTTCGCATCGAGAGCATGGCAAGGAGAGGGCAGGAGAGTGAACGCGACCCAGTGCAAGACAGGACAGGGAAGGACCGTCTGGGGGACAGAAAGGCTGGACATCGAAAGGCAGGGAAGACGTCGTCGAAGAACACAAGACGTCATAAACACAATTGTTCTTCTGAGGTCCCCGCAGGATTCTTGGATCGGCGTTTGGCCCCCTGGCGCGCTCCGCGCGCCAGGGAGGGGTCCAGCGCCGACCAAAAAAATCGCGCAGGCTTCCCAGAAATTAGAATTGTGCCGTTTGGTGTTCATCTACGCTAGGCAGCACGAACATGACCTGAGCATCTTCGGGAGACCCTGCCTGTCCTGTAAGTGGCGGCCTTGGCTTGTACTCCGACGTGAGTTGGGCGCGGATTCGACGTGGAGTTTGCCTGCATTCGACTCGGATTCGACGCAGACTTGACGCGGTTATGTATTTCAGCCGTTCTAGAAAGGGCCTCGCCTTCGAGGATCGATGGAGTTGCCATCTCTTCTTTGGCGCAAGGCCTGCGGAAGCTGGCGGCAGTAAGACGAGGGCGGCCCCGCCAGCGGAAGCTTGCGGAAGACCAGCGAGAGCCGGCGGAGGTACAAATCGGCCTGCCGAGAGACGACAATATGTTTTGGTGCAGGGTTCCCGGAACCCGCCATTTACTCGACGCGGATTCGACGCGGACAGCAGCGCGATGTGACAGACGGAGGGAAGCCGGCGGCGGAGGGCACGAGAAGAAGTCGAAGACAAGGGAGGGCGTGGGTTCCACCCCTTCCCTCCCTCCCCTATCCCTCCTGCTCCCCCCTCCTCCTCCCTCTCCCCCTTCTCCTCCTCCCCTCCCCCTCCTCTTCCTTCTCCTCCTCTTCCTCCTCCTCTTCTCCCCACCCTGTCCAGGAGCTAACTCACACGGGGCAGCGACGGCAAAGTAGGGCGGGCATCGACGTCACAGGAGCTTGACAGGTAGTGCTGCAATTTCCCTCCCTACTTCCGAAATCGCCCGAAGTACGGCGGACCCGAAGTCTTGATGGGGAGGCTTCCTCGCAGCGAGAGATGGTCCCCCCCCGCGGCTGCAGCGGCGACAGAGCTGCGGCGTTCCAGCGTCTGCTGCCTGGTACGTGCCGCGTGCTGTCGGGAGGCGCGGCTTCGGCGATCTTGAGAACGTGCGAGCATGAATTGTTCTTGGCCCCACAGGCCGCTATCCATAATCACTCTTGGACACATCGACGCCCCCCCTTGCAACCTAGGCGGCTCATGACTATGCGACCCGATACCTGTGCGACCCCTTGGATTCCTCGGGGTGGAGTTCAGTGGGGGCTCTGTGTGTGTGCCGTCGGATGGGGGTCCCCGCTCCAACGGGAGCCCTCCCTAGGGCCCGGCAACCCGCCAACGTGCCTTCATCTCCGTGCCCTTCCACCATGCCTCATTCCTAGACCGGCGGCAGCAGGCCCAGGAAGACAGTCAGAGGGGGCAGGCCTTCTCGGAAGGCGGCGGGGCTTCCCAGAAGCCCGCGCGCCTTCTGAGAAGTCCCCCGTGCCCTCGGACGAGGCTGAGAAGCCTCCTCACAAGGCGCGGGGGCTCCTGGGAAGCCCCGCCGCCCTCTCTACGAAGGCATGCCCCCCTCCCCCCTCCCCTTCCCCCTGTTCCCCCCTGGGCCCGCCGTCAGTGCAGAAGGCTGAGCGTGCGCTGCTCTTCCATCACCTCCTCCTCCTCCTCCTCCTCCTCCTCCTCCTCCTCATCCTCCTCCTCCTGCTCCTCCTCCTCCTCCTCCTCCTCCTCCTCCTCCTCCTGCACGCGGCACCCCGACGCCCTCCCCCTTGGCCGCCCCAGAGGCGGCCCTGGGCCCCCCGCTCGGCGGCCCCCCGCGCGGCGCGCCCGCGGAGCTGCACGGCCCCGCGGCCCCGCTGGCCTCGGCAGCCGACTGGGGAGGCGCCCGCGCCGTCGCCGTCGCCCTCGCGAGGGCCGGCGGCCGCTGCCGCTGTGCGGGGGCCAAGTGCGAGCCCTACCCCTACCCCCCACGAAGTGGGGCCAAAGTGAACCCCACCCTCCCCCTCAGAAGTCGTGGGGGGTAGGGGTAGGGTTCGCATGTGGCCCCCTAGCTGTCGTCGCTGGCACTGCTACGTGGAGGAGAGAGAGATAGAGAGATGCAGCGCACGCGCATGAGTTCTCGGAGGTCCGCGCAGACCCGACCTCCGCGAGATGACGTCTGCGCGGCGTCTCTGTCGCTGTTGTCTCTGCCGCCGTCGCCGGTGTTGGCCCCGGAGCTGTGAAGGGAGGGCCTCCCCGTCCTCCCTCGGGGGGAACAGCGCTCCCCCCTGAGAGAGGACGGGCGGGGGGATACTGCGATCCCTGGCTGGCGTTTCAGCTTTTGCTGCCTGCTGTATGCTTCCCGTGATGTCGAGAAGCGCGGCTCCTACACCCATCTGCCATCTTAAGGACACGCGTCAGTTTTCATGGACCCCAGATTTCGCTTGAAGAGCCTCAAGAGTCTGGGCTGGACCCGGGGCGCTGTCTTGGATCTTCGTCTTTCTCGTAAAGTGCTGGTAGATCTGGACCGGATTGAAGTTTGAGAAAACGTTTGGAGCGAAGCAGCCCATTGCTGTAGCGCAGAATGTGCTTAACTCTGAGCTGGGGCGTATACAGTCGGGGCGCTGAAGAAGGAACCCTTTTCATTGGAGAGGGGCTCGGTGTTCCTTAAGTGTTTCACAGCTTGCCTCAGGTTTTCCTTATGTTTTCGATGGGAAGTCGAAGTCTAACTTGTGGAAAATTGGGACCTCGTTCCTTATCTAGGGTTCCTTAGGTCAACGCCCCGACTGTAGCGCAGAATGTGCTTAGCTCTGAGCTGGGGCATGTACGTCTCGACTCACGTTCTCGTCGTCGTCGTCGTCCTCTCGGCCGCCCGCGGGGGCGCAGGAGCAGTCGCGCGGCGCGCGTCGCGGTCTGGGCCCGAGCAGACGTGCCCTTCTCCACGCGGGGGGCGGCTGGCAGGAAACTCGTTGCTTGTCGACGTCTGTCGTCGTTGTGGTCGTTGTCTGTCGAGTAGGGGATCGTTTTCGTTGCTGTCGTTGTCGTCGTCGTCGGTGTCGCCGTCTTCCGAGTAGGGCATCGAGTAAAGGAATGATTTGCCCCGAAATTGCAAATGCCGCCAGGTCTACAGCAGGTGCGTCGATCGCTCGTAGATCACACGTTCTACGTATTTGTTACACATGTGACGAACCTTTTTCAAATTGTGGGGTACATCAGTTCTGTATAGTCGATCTCCAGCCCGAGTCTGGGGGGAGAAGGTGGATGTGCGAGCGAGGAGGAGGAGGAGGAGGAGGAGGAGGAGGACCACAGTAAGCCCAAGATGCAGCAGGGATGCTGAAAGACACCCTCCGTCCCAAAGCTCCCTCCCCAGAAGTCCCTACATCAGAGCGTGAATTACCTACCCCGCTTTCGCTTCCAGGCAAAACCAAGCCATACCACGCGCCTCCTCATCAAGCGGCCTGACCAGTACCGGCTGCAATGTGGCATCGTTTGGTATCTCTTGGAAGCGAGGGTGGTCAAAAGCGAGGTAGGTTTGTTTTCCCCCTAAAGACGCCCTCCGTCCCAAAGCTCCCTCCCCAGAGGTCCCTACAAAAGCATTCCTGTCCACTTCGTGAGGCGCGCCGCCCCTGAGGGCCACCAGCCCACGGGCCTGCCGTTCAGGCGAGAGCCCGGGTTTAGAAATGGACGCATGTGCGTTGCATATTTCCAGCGAGTAAGGGAAGAGCTTCCTTCTCCTCATGCTGGAGCAGGAGGAGGAGGAGGGGGAGGAGGAGCAGGAGGAGGAGGAGGAGGAGGACTTTTTCCAGCGAGTGAGAAGGGATGCGCCAAGGCAGGATCGTACAGCTCCAGCGAGATTCCCCGTTGCAAAAAAAGACCCTTACGTGTGGAGTTCTGCCACAAATTGTCATGCCTGGCCATGCGCGTCGAGGAAGTGAGGAGCGACATCTATATATATATATATATATATATATATATGTGTGTATGTATGTATGTAACATATGTATATATATAGATACGTAGCACCCCGCAGATGCGGATACGAGTGAGGGGGCGGTGGAGATGTCGGCAGTCTGCGAAACTCTGGAGGAGCCCGCCGCACGCGCCAAAGTTTCACAACTTATACAGCGAGCCCGCCGCAGGCGCCGATTATTTCGTTAACTCAATGTGGATGGGTCGCAAAATGGTCGCACATGGGTCGCAAGTGGCGGGTGGGTCGTTGGTGGGTCGTTGTTGGGTCGCGGGTGGGTCGCGGGATGGCCGTGGGTGGGTCGCGGGGTGGGTCGCGGGGTGGGTCGCAAGTGGGTCGCAGGTGGGTGGCGGGTGGGTCGCGGGGTGGGTTGCGGGTGGGTCGCGGGGAGGGTCGCGGGTGGGTCGCGGGTTGGGTCATTGGGTGGTCGTGGGGTGGGTCGCGGGATTGGTCGCGGGTGGGTCGCGGGTGGGACGACGTCAACAAACAAACAAATACACAAACAAACAAACAAACAAACAAACAAACAACAACAACGCAACAATGCAGCAAACTGAATCCTCACCACGGATCCCCACTTCAGCCACGCACTCAGGGACAATGAATGAGCGTGTGGCCCCCTCACTCTGACAACGAGCCCGCTGCAGGCGCCGATTGTTCGTTAAACCAATGTGGGTAGGTCGCGGGTGGGTCGCAAATGGGTCGCGGTTGGGGACGCGGGTGGGTCGCAGGTGGGTCATTGTTGGGTCGCGGGTAGGTCGCGGGAGGGTCGCGGATGGGCCGCGGGGTGGGGCGCACGTGGGTCGCGGGTGGGTCGTTGGTGGGTCGCGAGGTGAGTCGCGCGTGGGTTGCGGGTGGGTCGCGGGATGGGTCGCGGGTGGGTCGCGAGCGGGTCGTGGGATGGGTCGCGGGTGGGTCGCAGGTTGGGTTGCGGGTGGGTCGCGGGGTGGTTCGCGGGGTGGGTCGCGGGGTGGGTCGCGGGAAGGGTCGCGCGTGGGACGACGACAACAAAAACAACAACAACACAACAACGCAACAAGCAGAATCCTCACCACGGATCCCCATGTCAGCCACGCACCCAAGGACAATGAATGACCGTTTGGCCCCATCACTCTGCTTTTGAGAAGCACCCTGCCTCCATTTGCCCAGCTGTAGCATATGTTCAAGCTTCTGGCACATCAGTACACACGTCTCAAGCGAACGCCCAAGGCTGAAAACAATGCGACCGCCCACCTCGAAAAGACACCGTTGCCATTCATTGAAAAAAAAAAAAAAAACATGCGCACGCGAGAAACAAATGTGCGCGGCGCTGAGGCGTGCGAGCCCGGTTTTGAAAATGGGCCGGCCTCCACGCGCGAAGCCGTCGCGCATTTTTACAAGGCGAGTGTGCGCGAAGCGGCGGCGAGAGCTCCGTTTTTTTTCTAATACGGGCCGCCCTACATCTTTGAAGCTGCTGCACGGTGAGAAGGCGGCTGCTCTTGGCGCGGAGGCAACGACCTGCCCTCCATCTTTGAAGTCGCTGTAGATGGGTTAGATGAAGCTGCGCGGCGCCAAAGCGGGAGCCCCGTTTTCGAAATTGCCCGCCCTCCATTTCTGTAATGTGTGTAAGTTCTGAGCTTCAGGACCGCTGGTGGTGAGGATGTCTCAGGCGAAACGTCTGGCCCGCCCCACCGACACGTCTGGGGGGCGGCGGGGAAGAACCTCTTGTAGGGAAAGGGATTGAGGGATAGGGGGCGGGAGGGAGGAGGTATGAGTGAAGGATGGGGGGATGGAAGGAAGCGGGCTGAAGAGAGGGAGGGGGGCGGAGGAGGAGGAGGAGGAGGAGGAGGAGGAGGGGGGGTAGAGGTCGGAGGCTCGAGTAGGCGCTGCATGCTTTCTCCTGGATTGCCCTGATGCGCTAGCACGTGCAAACAAGATAATCAAGCCGAAACCAACACTACACACGTGCCAGAAAACTCTCAGGGCATTCCAGACGTGCCACACAAGTTCATAGACATGCGACGCGGCCTCCGCAAGACCGTGCCAAGAAGCAAGAGGGGAGCAGCAGGGAGCAGCAGGGAGGCAGCTGCAGCCGCAAGCCACTGTGCCGCCTTCATCAATCGGGGGTCCCGGCCCGCCACAGAAGCAGACCTACAAACTCCGCCGCCTGCTCACGGGGCCCACTCACTCGCCGCCAAACCGCGCCCAGCTCACGACACCACATCTGGATGCCGCCCCAGGCCTCCCGCCTCTCTGAGGTCGGGGACCCCCTGGCACCCCCCCGGCCACCGCAAAGGGGGAGCGCGGCGCGAGGCCTCGCGCGTGGCCCCGGATCACCACCCTCCCAGCCCGTAGGCAGGCGGCCCGCACTTCCGGAGCCTGGGGCAGTGCAGCCTGCCTGCTGGGCACGCGGCGAGATGCTCCGGACGGGAGCCGTGTCGGAGGTCGACGGGACCCCCACCCTGCCAGGTCGATTCGCGAATTGCCCAGGCCGCTCCTCTTGCGGGCCTGCGTCCGCCGGATCTGGTCCCAGGTCGCGTTCATGAGGGGGAGGTGTGCCAGGGGGAGTCTGATCCACCCCCGACACCACCGGACGAAAGGAACGCGCCCCCACAACCAGGGGTGCCACCTCCAGCCAGGAGGTCCACGATGCCTCCCTGGCTTGTGGATAGGGGTACCATTGGATGAAACAACCCTGGTGAAGAAGCGATGCGGTTTAGAGTAGGTGCTGATTCTGAAATTGAGAATCACATGCCACTGTTTACAATACCCCCAATGCTTATTCGTCGGGGGCTGGTTTTGAGGGCTGCCGACATCCAACGATGATCGGCAAATGATGATTTCGCCGCCGCCGCTGTCGCCCACGCCGTCGTGGTCGTCGCCGTCGCCGTCGCAGTCCTACTCAGGACAGGGCGAACCGAGGGACGCGCACAGCCGATTGCCAGCCAAGAGCTTT